GTGTGGCCAGCAGCCAGTCAGTTTCATTGCAATGACTTGACACTGAAAACGGCTGCCGCGGTGACACTGACCGATTCGGTCGGACGCGTCAACGCGTCGGCCCACGCCCCGCCGTCCTCCAGGGAAGCACTCTCCGTCGCCACCGTCCTCGGGGAATATTAATAATTGTGTCCTGACAGCTCATCACCTGATCGATACGAGTCCGAGTGGCCCGGGTGAGAGGAGGGGCGGGGGGCGGGCGGACGTGGGACGCGGCGCGGAAGAATCCACCATGTTTTCTTTCCATTGTGAAGGGGGGGGGGGGGGGGGCGGGCGGCGCCTGCACGCGGCGCGGAAGAATCCACCATGTTTTCTTTCCATTGTGAAATGGTGATCGCTCGGCAGCCAGCAGCGCGACGCTCAGCCGACGGAGCCGGTCTCTTTTTGCCTCCCTCGCCTCTGCCTGTGGATTACCCGTGGAGAATATCTGGTCGAAGCCCATCCGCCGCGCCGCCGCCCCCGGGGCCGCCCCCCGCGCCGCCCCCGCACAACATCTGCAGGAAGGGCGTCTGTCTCCGTCGCGCCCGCAGGCTCGCCCCGCCCCGCCCCGCCGCGAGCTGCGAGTGCGAGAGAGAGCGCCGCGCGCCATTATCGGCCAGGGCTGCTCCGTGGCGCCACTCCGCTAGGCAGATGGCTCGGCAAATTGGAAATTCCCCATGACGCCGTCTGCCCTGCCTGTGTGCCTGGCCCGGGCCTGTTGCCACCCGCGGCCGCCCGCTCGGCCTGCCCTTGTCCTCGTCCTTTGACGGCCATAAGGTTCCAAGGGGCTGGGACTCCTCCTGGAACCTGGAAGGAAAGCTCTGGTGCCCCTTGCTCACCGTGCCGAGGAGGTGGTTGGTCTGCTCGCATGGGGGACGCCGGCGCGCGCCCTGGACCGTGGAGGCTGCCGAGATGTGCACTCAGAGGCGTACCCTGCAAACACGGTGGCGTTTTACTCTCGAAAGCACGAAAATTAAGCAGCAACATTTGACATTTAAGCTGTTAAACTACAAGTATTGCTCACCCCTGTCGGTCGTCTGTTGCAGGTGCAGCGCCGAGGACGCTGTCCCGGTGGTCCTGGACACAGCCATGGGGAGGACGCCCCTGGTCTGACGGGCAGGTGCACCAGGACGCCGCCACCGCGCCGCCGGTGGAGTGGATATCGGAGAGGACCGGGGAGAGGACGGCACCCGCTTCTGAGCCATCGCCGTCGTCGTCGTCGTCGTCGTCGTCTTCCGGAGAGGCCAGACAGGCCGCGTTCGGACAAACCTTCCTCAGCTTTCGAACGCCGCCTGCTCGCGACGCCTCCGCCGGCCCCGCGCCACGCGCCACGCCGGCTGCCTCGCACGCTCTGCCTGGAGGCCAGCGGGAGCGAGCGCGCGACCCACAACGCGACACTAAACCGTCACCACTAGACAGGATACCACCCAGGAACGGAATATCACATGATCCTCGAGTACTGTTAAGTCTGGAGAAATTTAAAAAGCCGGGATGAGAAACTTTCATGTCACACCACTCTCTCCGTATTTGAGCGGCTGCACCCAGAAAAATGATTCGCAATTGTGGCAACCATCTTATGGTTGGCTCAAGGCAGGGAGCACCATAAAATATGATTACGACAACAATGAAAACGTGCTGAAAACCATAATTTTGGCTCTCGCGACTACGATAAAGTTGCATCAACCACAATTTACGGTGTTTGCCGAATTAGCCATAGGATGGTCGCTATAGCTCATCATTTTTCTGGGTGTAACCTCTCACGTTTCTAGACAACATTAAAAAAATCGGACGGATCACAGAGGCAATTTCTCATAACGGACGTGAAAATGTCCAGCCTATAGGAAGGATACTTGTTCGACACAAAACTAAACTATTTCATCGTCCCTTTTCACGTGCGGTAAGCTGTGAACGTGGCCGCGAGCGCGTGGAGGTGTCCTCTGACCAGGGCCGAGCAGAGATCTCATAAGCCAGAAGACTCGCCCCTCGCACTGATTGGGCCAACAGTCGGTCCCTCGACCTGCTCCTCGCCACACCCCGCCGCCGCCCGCCTTTGACATGTGAGGACCTTCTCCGCGGTGCTGCGGGGGGCTCCGTCCGCCCGCCCCGGGGGAGCCAACTATACGTGCACTCCATGTCGTGGTGATCCAGTTCTCAGGCGCAGGAGGCGAGCCGGTCTGCACAAAGCGATGTGTCCGGCCCGGCCCGGCCCCGCGTGGACACCGTATGAATCAGGGGCATTACAGCCACAATTTGCAGCACGACTGTCACGTGCTCTCGTGCCCTCGTGCCCCACGACTACACTGCTAAACTACGTGTCGTCGACATCCCCCGCACGAGCGCGCGGCGACGCAGCCGGATAGGAAGCAACCATAGAACGATATGCGGGTATGGGCGGTCGCCTCCCTGCATCCTCCAAAGTCATCTTCAGGTTCTCCTTACGGCACGCTCCTGGACTGCCGCCATATAAGAGGCAGTACCGCATGTACCGCACAAATCTCACAAAGGTGATGTCCAAAAAAAAAGCTCACATGATGTGAAGTATGTCTCTCGCCACGAGCGCGCATGCGAGTCCAGACGACCCTCGTCGACGACAAGACACTTTCCCACCCGGCAGAGAGGAGAGGGACCTTGACGCTTTAGCCGAATCGCCTCCCCGCTTTGCGGCTGTATCTCAAAGCTGCCTGGCAGTGGGAAGAGTGTCGCGCCTCTTTCCCAAACAACGACGCGACGCGCTCCCATTGTGGCTGTGAGGGGCGCAGCGCGAGACAAACGGCTCAGTAGTGTATCGCACCGCAGCACCTACCACGAGGTGCTCCACCAGGGCAGGGGCACAGTCAGGGAAGGGGTCACTACTACTTAGATTTAATTATTATTTACCAACGTAGCTAATGATATGTGTGTACTTCTAAATGAATAGAGCCCCCGACTGCATCAGTATTGTTTAGTAATTTATTTATTGTTTGTTAATCGATAAGAAACCGTAGCTTGAGCATCGTTTGTGAAATGTCGTATTTATTTATTTATTGTCGTTTGTATTAGTTGTTAATCTTAGGAGTAATGTAGGACTAGGACTGTACTGTACTTGTGTGATATATTACGAAATAAATCATGTGGAATTAAAACGCGGGTGCGCGCATCACTTCCTTCCACAACGGAGAGCAACCTTTAAGATGGCCCCTCTACTTGCAGGTCAGGGGCAGAGGCTCTGGCTCCGCGGCGCCCGCGGGTTAGGCAACCCATCCGCCACCGCTGTGGAGCCGCCGCCTGTCCGGGCGGGCGGGCGCTGAGGCGGCGGAGCGGCGCGGGAGAGGAAGGGGACATCACCTCGTCCACCACGGCGCCCGTTAGTGCTCCCTCCCTACTTATCGTTCTGCGGGTCGAGGAAGTGGTGCTCGTTGTAGAGCACCTCGTTGATCCATCGCGCGTAGCACGACACCTCCGTGTACACGCCCGGGTACTGGGCGCGCGCGCAGCCGATGCCCCACGACACGACGCCGCACAAGTAGTACCTGCCGTCGGGCTCCTGGCAGGCGAGCGGGCCGCCCGAGTCGCCCTGGCACGAGTCCTGGCCGCCCGCCTCCTTGCCGCTGCACAGCTGGCACGTGTGCAGGAAGTGGCTGAAGCCGCGGTTCTTGTACTGCCGCTTGCACTTGTTCCACGGGATGATGGGCAGCGACACCTGCTGCAGCACGTTGGGCAGCCCGCCCGTCTCGGACAGCCGGCCCCAGCCCGACACCACGGCGTTGCCTGCAGGAAGAGTGCGTCAAGAAAGGGGTCAGGGTGCCGGCAGAACCGTCATCATCAGAGTAATCAAATCAGAGTAATTCACCTCTAAGTTCGACGAGGTCAGTCAAAGTTCATCAAACTTCTTCGACGAAGTTCATCAAACTTCTTCGACGAAGTTCATCAAACTTCTTCGACGAAGTTCATCAAACTTCTTCGACGAAGTTCAAACTTCTGCAAAGAAGTTCTTCAAACTTCTGCAAAGAAGTTCTTCAAACTTCTGCAAAGAAGTTCTTCAAACTTCTGCAAAGAAGTTCTTCAAACTTCTTCGAAAAAGTTTATTGAACTACAACGAAGTTCAAACCGCTTTACCCAGCTACTCACCAGAGTAGTGGTGGCCAGGCTTGGGCACGCAGATGGGCGCCGTGTGCTTGGAGTCGAACACCAGCTTGCGGTCCAGCTGCAGCAGGCTGATGTCGTTGGCGAAGGTGTCCTTGTCGTAGCCCAGCCCCACGATGCGCACCACCTTGCGCCGCTGCTCCTTGCCTGCGCACCATGCAGAGGGGTCGTTTTTCGTTTTTGTGTTTTTATCGCAGAAGCATGTCCCCTCTTGGCGTGCTGTCATGCATCTTTCTTTTCCCTCCCCCCTCACCTCTGCCCTTTTCCTAACTAGAGCCACCACCCCCACTCTGCACACACGGTCAAAGGTCACGCGCTGCGGCACCCCGCTCCTCTGCCCCAGCGGATGGCTTTTGGACCGCGGCAGCGGGGCACAGTAGGGGAGTGTGGGCGGGGCGGGGCGGGGCGGGGCGGGGCGGGGCAGGGCGGGGCGTGCCTGCCGGGCAAGTCCAGTAATTGCTATGCTGAGCGACCACCGGGCCGCAGATAACACTCGTCCCCCCCGCACGCGGGGCCGCCGGGGTGAGGGGGCTGAGGAAGAGAGACTACAAGTCTCTCTAGGCTGGGGGGTTTGAGGGCTGTGGAAGAGAGACTCCAAAAGTCTCAGGTCTCAGTAGGCTAGGGGGTTTGAGGGCTGTGGTAGAGAGTCTCTCAGGTCTCTCTAGGCTGCGGGGGTTTGGGGGCTGCGGTGGAGACTATGAGTCTCTAATCTCTCTGGGCTGTGGGAGTGAGGGTGTTGGGCAGGGCCCCGATCCTGCAGTTTCACTCTTCCCAGTCCTTCGGTATTAGCAGCCGCTGCTCCTCTCTGTTAGACTCACCTTCCACCTTGTACAGGTCGTGGTCGCCGGCAACGATGGACAGGTCCTTCAGGGGCACCCCGTCGACGCAGTGGCCGGCCGACACCACCCAGAAGGGCGACACGATGGCGCCGCCGCAGATGTGCTGCATGTCCCAGAGGCGGCGCTTCTGCAGCGACACCTGCCACGGGAACTCTCCTGCAACAACAAGCAACGCGTCAGGCAGCCTCGCGAGGGCGCCCGGCAACCTGCACCAGCGCCTGCGCCAGCACGGCCTCTCTCACCGTGGTCCGCATCCACGCCGCCGACGATCCGGTCCGAGGAGCCGACGTTGCGCACGCCGCAGGCCAGGTCGTACCCCAGGATGCTGAAAACGAACGTTAGAGGGATATGTCGTTTCGGAAAAAACAAAAACAAATAGATGCTGGCGCTACCTGTCGACGGGTGGCGGCGACTTCTGGGACCAGTTGATCGCGGGCTTGGACCACCAGACCGAGGCCCAGACCGCGCGCTCGGGCTCCGTCGTGTTGTGCACATTGGCCGCGCTCTCGTTGGCCGGTTTGCCTGCAGCGGCTAAGCCTGTCGAAGACAACGATTCAGTTTGAGAAGACTCATCTGCCGAGGTAGCTCGTCAGAAAAATAACGCAAAAACGTTTCACGCTTAAAATGTTGAAACCATTAACGCGCGTTATGCGGGCTTCTTATCTAGATAAGACGGTCTAAGCGTTCGCACTTGCATATCAATTGATCTTGCCGGATCTTGCAGTAATTAACGCTTAAAATTAAAACTTTTAACGCCGAGAACAGTTGAACTTGCACTGAAAGCACGCGCCCACTTGCTAGCGAGGCGGCGTCACGGCGAGGTGTGTCCTGATGCGGCCTGGCGCAGGCGTGAGTAGAGCGCTGGATTTTTACGAGCACAACCCTAACATTCTTTGCGAGCGCCGGCACCGCTTTGTTACAAGGACCACCATCACCATCGGATCAACTAGGACTAGATATATGCGATGACGTCACTGCATGACGCTGACAACTTGAACTGACAGAACTGACAACTTGACTCGCCTACGGGTACGGACAGCCACAGGGGACTGTCGAAAAATTGGCCCTCCTCAGTCAGTAGGTCAAGTCAGCGGAGGCGCGGTTTGGGGTCATTTATTGCGAGACGTACGAGTGTAAAGTGTGTGGAGGGAGGAGGGGTGGGTGGGTGTGGGGGTGGAGGGAGCCAGAAGAGCAGGGAGTGGTGAAAGAGTGATAAAGGAAGGAGAGACTGGTGTACGTGACCCATTTTCTTCTTGGCTCATTTTGCTCTCTCCCCAGCAACATAAACACTTTTTGCTGTGCCTCCTTCAGCCCCCGCACTCCGCACCCTCACCCCCGATCCCCTCCGCTCCGTGCTTGCAGCCACTTACGGCGAGCGGAGGCGCGGTCGTTCCTCGCCCCGCCCCGCTCCCCCGCGTGTCCAGGAATTGCTTCTTGAAATTGGACGGCTGAGCTGAGCATGTTTGGGGTGCGCTCACCTCAGCCTCCGCGATATCGGAATTGATATCGAAGAATGTCACCGCCTCGAGCGGATACGCTAAACAGTGGCTCGCCACCCTATCTCCACTAACGGGACGGGGTGGGCGGGGTGGTTGAACTCGGACCGACTCGGATCACCGCGAGACCGACCTGACGCGCACCTAAAACTGCCGTCGCGGGAATCATCCTCCATCAACGTTTCGGAAAGCAATCACAAACAGCGTTTTCAAATGGACAGGCTGCACCGCTCTTATTGCTAGGTAAACCATCTCCTCATGCTCGCACGTACAGTACGTCACCGATTCGCGGACTTCCCCCAGAACTACACTACTTGGAATGGACAAGTAGCACTACTTGCGGCCCAGCCAGGAAGCGTCAGGGCGGATATCTCACGAGCAGACACAGAGCGTTTTACAGTCCCTGTTACCGCGAGAGCAATGTGTGGCAGGCGCGAGTCAACGGGAAAGGACGGGAGTGGGGACTACACTTATGCCCACTGGCACCTCAGTAGTTCGGCCGGAAGCGGGTCTAACTCGCAAGTAGAATCCTCTGGGCTACAGCGTGGTCGGTTTGCCTCCTTTTTTTCCGACCAAAGTAGCCCCCAAACAATATTATTCTTTGATTTTTATTTAATGGTCTAATAAAGGGTTATTGGCTCTGTTATTGGTCAAAGTAGGACCATTTCATTTACCCCAAAATCTCGTCCGTTTCGCTGTCTCTCTCTATCTGTTTGGGCGTCAACAAGCGGTTTTTGACGAAAAGAAGCTAAAATTACAACGTATAGAAAATCGTTGTGGAGGCCTCAAATCGAAAAATATTTTAAGTATCCCAAAGTCACACGTTCTCCTGCGGATATGCTGTATCTAAACAGTTCCCGAGAGGTTGACTTAGAAAGAAATTGGGAAAATAGGTAATTAATCGGTTGACTTTTTTACATCAACCACATGGTGCAAAACTGGGCTCGAGCGGGGTTTACCATTCGCAATACCCTGTAAATATAGGATACCACCCAGAAAGTAGGTCTGCCATTCGCCGTTACTAACCTACTCGGTTCAGCTTCTGCAAGCTCTCATAGCGCCTGGCGGGTAGGCAACATCTCGTCTGCAGTGCATGCGTGTACTGCTGGGTGGCCTACCCTGCGTCT